AATACATGGTGATATTTGAATTTCATTAATCAAACTACCACACATTGTAATAAGATGTGTTCTACTTCAACCAGCTGAAACATGCTGCTCATACGTCAATGCATCAGTGTTAATAAATCTGGAATATTTGAAAGGAATATATAACACTGACTTCACACAAAATGAACATAATCCACCAGCACTTCAGGTTATTCTGAGCATTATGGGGAGTTTGTGTGTGTCAAGCTGCATGTCTAATGAGATCTAAACATGCATTTGAGACGTGATGATAGCAACAGTAATTACTAGCTTAGTTTTCCAACTCGGTCCCTTTTTTAAGCCTCACTCTAAATTCTGCCTGTGCAAACTAATCTTGGATTAACGGGCGCCATCTGTTTGTGCAGGAAAATAAATATTTACAGGAGATGAAAAAATGCCTGACTGCCTCCTTGTTGCTTGCTGTGGTTCGCAGAAAGCATGTTAATAAAAAAGTATGGAAAGAGTCATGAGGGGGCACACTTAATCTCAGCAAAAAACAGGGTTCAAATCTGGGAAGAGCCCTGCTGTTATTTGACGTCTTTGTACCGCTGTTTTGTTTGGCTTTGTGGCAGCAGGGACGGCTCTAACTAGAAAACCAGCATTCAAGCACTCTTGCTGGCAATCATCTGCCCGGCTGAAGTGTCCTTGAGGATAGCAGTGAATCCCTGCCAGCTGCTCTGTATCCAATCCTTCAGGCTGATGCTTTATTGCTTTCAGTGGAGGAATAAGGAGGCCGATTTCAGGCTTTTTACTTCAGTGTGCTCCATCAAAAAAAACAACAACCAGGATGATGAGTGATATGATTTGTCCTGGCTCTTTTTTTAAAAGATGTGGGATGTCTAGATCAGAAAACATGTGATTCAACAAGGCATTCAGACTCTTCCTAATATCACTTGCAGGCTCATTAGAATGTACCACACACAGCGCAACTTTGCAAAACGAAACCATATACATTTCACGCAAGCCAATCTTCTCTGAAGTGCTCAAACACATCAGTGGCACCTGATTACTACCTTGCAGTCTGCTGCAGCCTCAGTCAGGAGGTAAACCCTGTGGCCTGCGTGGCTCTCAGCTGCACATATAGTTCACATAAAGGCTCCAGGTCATCCAAGCAGAACATGGACAGACTCTCTTCATGTTCCTCACACCACTCCGGAGAGTCAACTGACCGGGACGCTGAGGCGAGACCCTCTGCCTCAGATGTAAAGTGGGATCATGGGAGAGCATAAAAAGGGGGGAGGAGCAGTGTGTTTGTGTGTTTCCGTATCAGTGTTGTATATGCAGTTGCCATGCATCATGCATCAGCACTGAAGTTACTTAAAGTAGAACTGCTTACACACTCCTTTTCAAACTTGAAGCTGAGCCAACGTGCCCACATCAGATTTAGCCATACATCACTTTGTAGTGTCAGATTGACTTTCATGACCCTGTGATTTATGCAACATTCACACATCCCAAGGCCAGATTTATTCCTGTGCCTGTGCTTGTTACTGTAATACTTTACGTATCCCCCCCAAGAGAGGTATAGCACTTCTTTCACTAAATGACATACTTTGCATGCAAAAAATAAGATGTGATTGGACATTTTGTTATTTGTCATTTCCCATACAGTAGCACTTCATGTACTGGATGCCAGGCCTGAGCCATGTTAAATGGATCCAGTTTCACTGGCCCTAAATAATTTGAGCTGCTTAGTTCCAGAGAACATGTAGACCAGATCAGCTCTGACAGGCGAATCACATTTCATTGAATCATATGCTCTAAAGTGAAATGAATGACATATAATATGTTCATTCTCCTGGAACATTTTGAGCCGTGATGTCTTGGTAGAAGTATGTCAGGTCCCAGGGGTGCACTCGTTTTTCAAAAGCTAGCCTTTTCTAAATAACTTCCTCCCAGGAAATTATTTTATGATTTGCTGGTGGTGAAGTTCTCACAAAAAAAGGACCTTAAAATGTATTTTAAAAAGCTGCCTGAACAGAATCAATTCAATTAACCTCCAAAGGTCTGATAACTTTGTCATGATTCTTTTCAAACTCATGCTCTACAGATAAAGAGAAATACAAAAAACATTCTTTATTTTATTTTAAAACAATCTTTCATGTTTATATTATATACAACAAAGTCAGTTACTTTTTTTCCATCCATCGAGTCTATACCTCTGAACACATATTTGTTTATTTAGGATTTGCTGTATAGTTACTTTTCATTTTATTGTTATTTTTGTTTTGTTTTCATATTATCTGTTAAAATTCAAATATATCTATAGAAATAAATTACTAAAAAAACAAAAAATTCATGCAGAAAGTGTAGCGTTGCAACACATTCTCTGTACCGCTCGGGGGCTGCTCATAATTTAGAAACTGAAATACTTCATTTAAAAACTTAAAACTGAGCCCCAGGTTGGAGCACTTAAGAGTTAATCAAAGAGATAAGCGTGTGTTCATGTCCTCAAAGCTTTCTTTCATCGCCTCATGCAGGTTTATCTGTTATCATGTAAAGACATATCCATGTCCACTTTGTTTATACGGGCGAAACTTTACACCCATGATGGTGTGCATGCGCACCTACAAACCTCCATCATCACACACAATTTCTGCAACAGATTTGGTCACAAACCTGAGCAGCAGTCGTCTCCCCCCCCCCTTTTATGCAACCTATGCCTCACATAGTGGCTGGGACAAGATGAGACACATCACCCTACGCCAACTGTCTCTGCATGCTTCCTTGCATGTATTTTCTGTAATGGTTTTGTAGACCTCTGTCTGCTGTCCTCCTCCTCGGCTCTGATAATCCTGACAAGGAGTGTTACGTGTCTCTTCTCTCTCACATGAAGAGTTTCAGAGACAATGGCAAATGGTGAAGTTAAAAGCTTCACTGCTCTTAAAGTGGTTTGCGGCTCACAATTTTCCCTCCAGCCTGCAAAGCTCTTTCATCGGTTTGCTCAATGTCAACAGCTGATGGTGGGTTGTACCACTTAGCATCAGTCACATCATGCTCAGAAAATGGATTTTGCCGCCAAAATGTTGAGAGGATGAAGTGCTAGAATCCCCCTGTCTCTTTCTCCAGCCCTCCATTATTCTTAAGTCAGGGTCAATTATATTCACTTCATTTTCATTCTCTCTGAAGTACATTTCTCGTCCTGATTCCATTGTGCAGGAAGTGGCCGCACCCACCTTTGATGGATTTGCCTCTACCTGGCAATACTTTCTGGAGACATGCGATAACATCATAGACGGGGATCAGATAGCAAAGCAGTGAAAGGTATCGAAAAAGAGGTGCGTTGGGCAAAATTGTCATACGCCTTTCTAACCCCCCCTGTTCTAATGTTTTTAAGACGCTAGTTTTGATGTTGCTCTGCAAGGAAATATTCTAAACCAGTTGCATCAGGACCCATGTGTGGGCCAAAATAATGTGAATCACTCATTGGTTGAACTGCCGTCAACACGTGTCCACACTGAGGCACTGATGTCACAAATAGCTTTCCTTCATTTTCTGTGAATCGCTGTTCTGGACTCAGCGGTGGTAGCGGAAGAGTTTTTTTGTTGTTGTCTTGCTCACAGTAACAAGAGACAGAGGATCTTTAAACAAAACTTTCCTCAGGCGACAGGAGAGGTGTTAGTTTCTTTACACCACTTATTCATTTGACTGGCAGCCATGCTATTTTGTAACTATATGATGGAATGTGAGGGGAAGATAAATTGCGAGGCCTGAGGCATCTGATCTGTGGAAGCTCGTGCCATGTTTCTCTCTAAAATATTAATTATTCTTAGTAAGTTTAATGTATGAAATAAATGTAGATCGTTAAACCTGTGTGGATGATCTATTGAGCATTGTTGCAAAAAATACATAGGCCTACTTGTACATAGAGCTTCACTTCAAAGTGAACTGATAAAACAGGCAGCTCATTCACAGACTGTGCTGAAGAATTCAATGCTTTCTGAAGATGTTTTTTTTCTTTCTTTCCCGTAGGTGCCTTTGGTCCTCATTTCAATCTAAGTCCCATCGATTGTAGGATCTGTCTCGCTACTATGCCATGGTGATCTCAGAACAACCCCTCTTCATCCATCCCGAGAGACAACCTGACCTCTTACATCCAGTCAGGTACAGTGTGTGATGAGGGATTGTATTAGTTACTGGTTGGATCAAAACAATAGAAAGTGAGTGGCAAGATTAAGCGCTGTTCAGCCCAGTTTGAAAAGCAGAACTCATCCGTGCTGTAACTAAGGGCCTTTTTATTTGCACCGTTTGTTTGCTTTTGTTATTCAAGAATATTTTCATTTCCTGCAGGGATGAGGCGCTCCCTGCCACAGCGGTTCATGCCTCTCCCTGTCAGTCCCAGCAACCCCTGCAGCTCCAGCTCTAGTTTCTCTGAGCCAGTGCTCCACGAGATGCAGCCTCCCGCTGACTGCCAGCAGACCTTCTGCCAAACCTCTGGAGGCTCCACGTCAGGAGAGTTGTGCTGATGAGGGAGAGTGTGACTGGCAGGTGCACTGAATGAACTGATTAGGGACAGGTGAAGGAAGTGAGGAGCTACAGAAAACCACACACAAAACACCCAAGGCAAAGCCTGATTGTGACAATTTGTCGATGGACAGAAAATTAATCTACAACTTTTTTTGATATTCAGTTAATTAAGATGTGTATCAAGCAAACATTTAAAACACTAGCTGATTCAAGCTTCTGAAATGTGAGGAAAGGTGATTTTCCTCTGCTTCACATCATAGAGAAATTAATATCTCTGGATCATCCGGGCATACAGTAGAGTAGAATAGATGTATTGCATGCACTTGTGTTGGTTTGAGCTACATCACTGAGTTGTCAAACAGCTTTTATAATGTTTTGTGTTTTTAAACATATTTTTGACTTCTTCACTAAATTACTTTTGGCGATGCTGCAAAGCAGTGACTCCCAACCTAGGACTTTTGTTTATTTTTTACATGAATTTCTGCTTTTCTTCTTGCAATACATACTTTGCTTGCCGATGAGACAAGCCTGCAGCAGGATATTGAACGCACGGACACGCCCATGTTGCTTTCCATCTGCCCTACGTAGCTGGATCCGTTCTTAAAGGGGAGGACATCATATGACCGAGGGAAGCCCAACAGTCTGTTTGGCCTCAAAGGATACACGAAGTTATCTATATGAAACACGATTCATTCCCTGATATGATTCATTTTAACAATCTACACGAGGCACATACATGTGCATCAACGACTTTATTTTGAGAACACCAAGTTCCCCTTCAACCGGTCCAGACATGCCCTTTAATTCCGCCTGTTCCTCCGCCATGTCGCCGCTGTCGGCATAACACAACAGCGGGACCCTCAGCTTCCACATCCTCCGTGTCCTTCTCTGTCCGCCGCGTCTCCAGCGAGTTTATCTCCCCTGCCATGCCCCGGGTCACCTCTCTGCTGCCTGCCCTGCTGTGCGTCCTCCTGCCGGGCCCGAGCCGGGGATATTTCCCCGAGGAGCGCTGGAGCCCCGAGTCTCCGCTCCTCGCTCCCCGGGTTGTCGTCGCGCTGGTGTGCCGCAACTCGGCGCACTCTCTGCCGCTGTTCCTCGGAGCCATCGAGCGCCTCAACTACCCGAAGGACCGCATTGCGCTGTGGTGAGTGTCACCGCCGAAAACAGTTATAAACGTAATGTATCAGGTATGTAATGTCAAAACTTTGAAAAGTGTTTTTAAGAAAATAGAACAGGCAGTAAAGTACGACAAAAGTGTGATCCAACGTCCGTGTGAGCTCACACAAGGCAGCAGCAGAGACATGTCCTGTTAGACGCATTATAGAGGAAAACTCTGCCTGCCTTTTGCGCGTGCCCTTGTGCGTGCTGGCCAGGTGGGGCCGCTGTGTTATTGTCAAGATGTAGGCTAACGCACGAGCGCTTTATCTCACCAAAACACTTTACAAATCAAATCAGCGGTGCAATGAGTAACAGTCAGAGCAGCGTGGCCGCACACGCGCCCGGGGTGTTGTGGAGACTTTTCCCCCGTGCAGCGGAGCACGGAGGGCGGGTTGCAGCAGCAGCGGACTCGCGCCTGTGGAAAAAGTTCCATTCAGTCCCAGATCGCCTCTCCATTACCCCCCCCCCCCCCCCCTCTACCCACCCTCCCCTCTTCTCCTTCCACATCTTCGTTTTGCAGACTCGACTAGAACAAAATCAGTAGTTGTAAAAAAATGTAATTATAATTGGCCCCCGAGCCACCAAAATATTGTGCAAGATTTCTATGAAAATGGACTTCCTCAACTTCAGTCAGCTTGTCGTTATGTCACATGCCCCCCATCCTTCCAGATCATCCTGGTCTCTGCAGCATTGCTCGCTTCCTCATGTATTTTTGATCCCGTGCCAATAGATCTGTTTTTAGATATATGGTTATTAAAGATGAAGAGTAATCTTTTCATCAGCATTCAGACCTGACAGGTTAGATAACATTTATTGGAAACCCAGTGACCTGATGAAGAGCAACAGCCTCGAGCAGAGTTGTGTCTAATGTGGCTGTGTTTGGATTCAAACTAAACACCGCTCACTCCTGTGAATCTAACGTCTGATCCAAACAGGGGGCCTCTTCTGAGAGTAAATGCTGCAGTGAACTTTTTCAGTTGGCGCTAGAATGAGGGATTCAAGTGTCTGTGTGTCGGTTTAAACAAACCAGCTTGGAGCTTTTTCCCCCCTTCCCCTTGTATCCCAGCCAGCAAATACAGCCTCGGTGCCTGCGTCTAACTATATGCCCATGTGGCAGCCGGAGCTCGGTCTTCTGCGCGGCTGCTTTGATCTGCAACACATCCCTTGCCTCAGTGGAAGAATAGATATGAAGAGATTTTGGAAAAAGCGGCATGAAAGACTTAAACCGAGCTGCTAGCTGGCCACCTGTCGATACCTGCAGTTATCAGCCTGACGGGTTAAGATGGAGTATTTGGCAAGCGGCAGCATACACACACACATGTAGCCTAATGATGTGTGTGTGTTTTCTGCAGGGCCATGCAGGATGGATGTTACCATTCCATAAACCTTCCATTTGTATCCGTCTACCTCTTTCTCAGCTCTCTCTCTCTCTCTCTCTCTTATCCTTCAGGCACGGTTCTATTGCTGACATGCAAGCACATACTGAATAAATCATTTTTTTTTGTTCGCTCTACCTTCTGCTCATTCAATACCTCACAGCAATCAGAGAGGGAAAGGTAGAGAGGGGGGAAGAAGACGAAGATGGATTGGTGAGACGGTCACATGTAGGTGCTGGGACGGCACGGCTGTGTTAAAAACACCACGGACAGACGGGAAACTAACGCATGCGGCACGCCGACTGTCACTCACTCCACGACGGAGCTGGGAGCAAATCCATTTCTCTCATATTTCCACATTCTTACCCTCTCTCTCCGGCTCTGTCCGTGTCGCCGCCCCCTCCCTGACACACACTGAGATTTGTTGTGATAACGCAGACGGCAGACGAATGCCGCCGCTCCTCTTCGTCAGCCCCGATTGTCTGTCTGTGCTCTTCTTTGTCCACCGCGTCTGACATCAGTGATGAGCAGCTCCGCTCTAATGACAACGAGACCCTCACAGGACCAAAGTACAGATAGATGATGAATCAATATTGTGTCATCTGGGAGTTGGTATCTTAAATATGTTTTACCCTTGAAGCAGCAGTCATCTGTGTTTTCATATAAAATAACTACTACTACTCATGAATTAAATGAGTAAACGGTTCAAGCTTGTTTTAGAATATCACACAATTTAAGTTTGTCATTACTGCCTACTGCTGACTATTTATTATTTATTGTTATTTAATCTGTATTTCCAGTTAAATGCGTTCTATCAGGATGCATTTCATTGGATCAGACTCATTCTGGAGTAGCAATCGTAACACCGATAGGAACACGGATTCCAAAACCTTCGCTGGAAGTATTGCTCGGTACCAATGAGATACAAATACCGAGAAGTCTTTTTCACCACCTCATTTAAAGCCTGCGTACCTCGATGCATGCAACGCATTGGGATCTTTCAGGTACCAGCGTGTGACTACACATCGCTTCTTACTGTAAGTGGCTCTAGCTCACTGCAATAAACGAATGGAGATGGAGAACACAATACAGCCCCTGTTGTGAGAGCGCCGTTTGAGTGACAGAATAATAACCGCTGTCAGATATTTATGAATAAGGCATTGTCGTGCACAGCGATTGCAGCCAGTGGCCCGATGCAACCGAATAAAGGCGGAATCACTGAATTTTAACGACAGTGGTGAGGAAGCAGTTTTTATGATGAGCAGGCAAGACTTGATGCGGTCAGTATCTGGACGAATACCGCTTCATCGTATCAGAATGGTGCGGCCCTAACAAAAGCCTGTGTGTCTGTCCCCCCCCGCCTCCCATTCTCCCACAGGGTGGCGACAGATCACAACATAGACAACACCACAGCCATCCTGAGAGACTGGCTTATCAAGGTGGAGAATGACTATCACTATGTGGAGTGGAGACCTCAAGATGAACCCAGGTACCGTGTGTGTGTGTGTGTGTGTGTGTGTGTGTGTGTGTGAGAGAGACACGTACTTTACTTAATGGGTTTCTCTGTGCACGTCTCAGAGCCTTTGAAGACGAGACGGGGCCTAAACACTGGAATAATCTCCGCTACGAACGCGTAATGAAGCTGCGTCAGGCAGCGCTGGAGACCGCCCGTGAGATCTGGGCCGACTACCTGCTGGTATGTCATCATCCACTCAACGGCTCCATAAGCCTCCTCTTATTAGGCTCCCTCTGTGAGGTCACTGGGTCAGATGTGTGCATCGGCATCCCGCGGCTCCACGGTAAACGTTAAAAATGTGGACGGGAAAGCGGAGCTCAATCTTTTACATAGAAAAGAAAAGGAACTGCATTAAGGAGACTTCTATGACCTATGACTAAAGCCACCTTTCAGACGTTTTCATAGACTACTCACTAATGCACTTTCTAATTTATAATGTCTTAATTTCTACTTAGTCTTTAAATCTAATCTCCCAGAGATTATCTCTGTGACATGCAAGTGCTTCTTTGTGTTATGAATAATGCAACCTGCTGCATAATGAGCTGAGCTGATGTAATAAAGTAACGGAGACGATGGAGGCGGTGAACGCCACAATGTGAAGGAGAGGGGTGCAGTTCAAACATTTGTTTGTAGGCAGTTAAACCCGTGATTCGATTTTAATTTTTTACCACTTAAGAGTTAACTGTTAATGTAGAATGAAGCCTTAGTATTGTTGCTATTGTTACAATCATTTTTAATACGACATAAGCACTGATTTAGAGATGGTCAAAATGTTTTCCTCAAGCCTCAGAAATAGCTGGTAAATTCTGTATATAGTATATTGAAATTCTCCATTGAGCTTTGAACTGAGTCAGCTGTCTCAATATGATTTTAACCCCCGCCTGTCTCTCAGTCAGCAGGGAGTTTTTCCATCGACATGATGTCAAATGTAAAAAAACAAGAGTTTTATGGCTGCTGCCGAAATATCTGAGAGTTTAAAGAAGCTGATCATATATGGCTGATATCTTCTTCTTCTTTCTTTTACAACATTTTGTAAGGATTCCTTCAATTTTGGTTATTAAAGAACTATGACCAAGATGTGTACTGAGCAGGTGAACAAGTATGCAATAGTGTAGTTTCTAAACTACCTAAGAAATATTTATTTTTATTTATTTTCCGACTTGTAGGCCAATGCTGATTTATCTGGGATTAGCTAATACCAGCTAATATATCAGCCCCACTGGTTAGCGGTCAAAGTAAAAGACAAAAAGTACAGTTTATAATCTCAGTTCAAGAATGAACTCAGCTTTAAACCAGAGTGCAGAACATCCTCCTGCAAATATTGGAGCAGCCAGTCGCCCAGGCTTGTTTTAACTCCCGGGCTGTGGGATAAGACGGGTGAGGAAGGATCTGATTATGTTCACGGTCCTCTGTGATCGAGCCATGTTGCTGTGGCCCGATCAATCATTCAGTGACAGCGGGGGGGGGGGGGACATTTGTCCCCGTGCTTGCATGTTCACGTTTGTGTGTGTGTGTGATTTCTTGTCGATATTTTGTGCCCTTCTCCTCCGTCTGCAGGTGGCCGACTGTGACAACCTGCTCACCAACGCGGACACGTTGTGGAAACTGATGAGTGAGAACAAGACCGTCGTAGCGCCAATGCTGGAGTCCAGAGCTGCGTACTCTAACTTCTGGTGCGGCATGACTTCACAGGTATATTCTGCTACAGGAAGAATATTTAGAAACACTATGGTGACATTAGAAATCAGAAATAGAAATGGACATAATCAGATGCTTTCTACAAGACGATTATACAAATATTCTGCGTGGGCTTGGAATTATGAACAGCATGTTACCGTAGTCCGGCTTTTTCTTGGCACTTGACACTTGGCAAAGTTTCCACCAGCATCTTCTTTCACTCTTATCACACAAACTGGACCAACAGACTGTCGAGATTACTCTCCATCATCATCACGGCGATGAAGAAGATAAAGTCTGCTTCTCTGTGGGTTACTGACGGGGAATAAAATGTCCCTTTTAATGCAGTCCTGCTGAATAATAGCGCTCCTGCCACCTTCTTAGCACATAAATATGATCTAGTGGGAATTTCACACTTCATTATTTTTTTCCTGTGCACGAGGAAATCAAATTTCACACTTTCTATGAGTCAATTTGAAGGTTTAGAGAAGTTTTCTTTTTGTATTCCAGTGTTTCATCTCAGATTACTGGGCCGGAACTGAATGTTCTGCTGAATGTAATTAGTAAATTAAAGTAAATGATTTTGCTGATATAATAGGATTTAGCATCTAATAAAGCTTATTATAGGACTGGTGCACAGCTCATTATGTTTAATTTGCTCCACCTTCTCAGTTTGTTACTGCGGGCTTCACTAGATATTACCAAAACCATAAACCACTTTGTCTTTTATCGATGTATGCCTTATATTTTAATGAAGATTAATCAACAGCGGCATGTTTTTAATATGCAGACACACTGGTGTCGGTACAGTTATGCCCACATGCAACAAACTACTGATGTATCGGGCTTTACGCATGTCTCGGATACAGTCTGTGATCTGTTGAGACAGGATGCCTTTAAGTACTCGTCTTTGCGTCTTTTCAAATCAGAGTAGACATATGGACATTGTCTATCCTCCAGCACAGAATAAACCAACTCATCAAGAGTCGGCCTCTCATCTTCTTCAACGACAGTTAATGAGTCTGAAGCCGCCGAAAGGCTAATGTCATCATCTCTTCCTATTTGTCAGTATTACTCAGTGTCATGCACTTATTATTTTATTCTTCACAATTAAAACAAATGTTCTTTTTAGTAATTTGGTAGTAAAGTATGCAGTTTCAGATCAGTCTTCTTCCCTAAAGGGAAAGAGTTGGACACCAGAGAGCTGTGTGTAACCGTACAGTGTTTGTGTGCACTCACTGCAGGGTTACTACAGACGCACACCAGCCTACATGCCAATCCGTAAGAAGGAGCGTCGTGGCTGTTTCGCCGTACCGATGGTCCACTCCACCTATCTAGTGGACCTACAGAAAGAGGCCTCGCGTCAGCTGGTGTTTTATCCACCACACCCAGAGTACAGCTGGGCCCTGGACGACGTCATCGTCTTTGCCTACTCGGCTCGCATGTCAGGTGGGACAAAGGCAGCAGAGATGGGCTTGTTATCTGGAGGGCTGCTTAATATCTTTCTACAGCTTGCTATGCTTTGTGTTTGTAAGCATGTGTTGTTGTTTTTCTGCTTTTATCTTCTCAGATGTGCAGATGTACGTGTGCAACAAAGAGACTTATGGGTATTTTCCGGTGCCGATGCGTTCCCACGGTAGCCTGCAGGATGAGGCGGAGAGCTTCGTGCATACTCAGCTTGAGATCATGGGTGAGTCGAGAGGTCAGAGAGCGCTCACGAAGACCAGGATGATTTCTTTGTGTTTCACAGTTTTAGTGGTGAAGCACTTACACAGACTAGACTGTGATTACACCTGGTTATGTCTTTGTACTATGGAAGTTTGTTGGTTGCAAATGTACTGACCTTCTGTACCTAGAGTACAACAGGAGAGGAAACAGAGTGAGCACTAAACACAAACAGCGATAGGTTATGTTTGACTTTAGCTCTATAATTCAGGGACTCCCAACATTTTCATTCCAAGGACTCGAAAAATAGATTTCACGTTATCGAAGTAAAGGAAACTGCCTTTAGTTAAATATCACTTTGTCACAACATTATATTCTACTGAGCACATAGAGTGTGCATGGTCTTTGTGCAGCATTACTGTATGCATTGCCGTGGAAAACTACAATTTGAAAACCAATAATGATAAAAAATAGTCATCTTTATACTTAAACATCTTGCTGAGTTCTAGTGTATACAAATCAATGGTTGATTTTGGAAATCTCCTGCGGATCCACATTTGGGAACCCCTGTCCCACCACATTTCACATTCTCTTTGTAACACCCCCCCACCCCTCCTTTTCCTGTTTTTGAAAGTGAAAAATCCTCCATTGGAGCCCTCCAGCTTCCTGTCTCTCCCTCCCAAGCAGCCTAACAAGATGGGCTTTGATGAGGTACACACACCAAGTCGCATACACACATGGAAACACACACACACACACACACACACACACACACACACAATAACCTAAACATGTGTGTGAGGTTTTTGCATTTGTGTGCATCCAGGTGTTTATGATAAATCTGGTGCGGAGATCTGACCGTCGCGAGCGAATGCTAAGAACTCTGTACGAGCAGGAGCTCAGCTGTAAGGTTGTTGCTGCTGTGGATGGCAAGTACGTCTCTCCCCCCCCCCCACTGCCTGTGTCTTCCTGATTTGTGCCTCTGCAACATGCCGTGTCGATTGATGTAGGTAGGCTGAGCTGAGACTAACAACCAGGTGAAAAGTAGTGGGTGTATGCTGTCAATTAGATATTCTCTGAGCCGCGTAGGCTTCAGCTCATCTGTGAGTAAAATATAGCTCTGATTCCTGTGTTGGCTCCCCAGTCAGGTAACAGTTTTACACATTTCATTATTATCTTCATTTAAAATGGTGAGAATGAATAGAAAAACAGCTCGTAAGACATGCATGCCTTATGTTATATCTGTCCCTTTGCTTCTCTCACACACACACACACACACGCACTCACACACACTCATCAGATCCATATGATTTGTTTTTCCCTTCTCTTTCCCCTTCAGAGCTCTGAACAAGACTGATGTAGAGTCGATGAGGATTAAGATGCTGCCGGGTTACAAAGACCCTTATCACGGTCGGCCCCTCACCAAGGGTGAACTGGGTTGTTTCCTCTCTCATTACAACATCTGGAAGGAGGTGAGACGCTCGGGCAGGCCTCAGGCCTCTGGGTCTTACCTGTGCACGGTAGATAAGGTTTACTACAGAACAACACGGTATCTCGGTTTGTGTGAGAAGTGGCAGCTCGGTGAGAGTAATGAGCTCGTTTTATTTATGTTTCAATAAATAAAACGCCTGCCTTTCAGCAAGTTTCTGTTTAGCAAAAGGAACCCTGTCATCGGTTATATGTCTTCATGTCCACAGTTTAGTCCAATGACACATCAGAAAATGAAATGTACTCGCTGTGGATTAAACATTTGGCACTTTTCCATCACAATAACAGATAGCAGACCGTGGTCTGCAGACCTCCCTGGTCATCGAGGACGACCTCCGCTTTGAGGTGTTCTTCAAGCGACGTCTCCAGACGCTGCTGCGGGAGGTGACCACACACGAGCTGGACTGGGATCTCATGTGAGTGACTGAGTTTACAACGCCACGTTGTAAACAGACAGGATTACCCCCCCCCCCCCCCCTCAGCTCAATCCGTCCATCTGTCACACACGATCACATGCTGAAAGCACTTGTGGGAATTACTGAGATGCTGCAGCATTTTCACATCGGACTGATCACTGTCATAGATAAGCTAACGAGGAGGAGTTATTCACACAAATGAAAGAAAGCACCGTTCATTTTCTGCATAGCGACTAAGTGTGTATGGACGCGACAGTCAGAGTTCTTTGATTAGAAACATCTAATTGCTGAGCTTAGAATTAAGATGAACCACTATTAGAAAGCTGAAGTCTAAAGATTATACCAAATATGTTACAATATGCTTGAATCAAATCAGTTTTGAATTTTAAGTAGATTTTGGATAAATTTAACAGCTATGGTGTAGTGCTTTGCTCATCGACTGACTGCATCAATATGTTTAAGTGAATTGATGTCGGTCTGTTTTAGATGCCTGTGTTACTTTAGTGCTTATGATGTTTATTGTCCCTCTTATCTTGAACTCTAAATACAGTTACATCGGGCGGAAGCGGATGCAGGTGGACCACCAAGAGAAGTCTGTGCCAAACATCCACAATATCGTGGAGGCGGACTACTCCTACTGGACACTAGGCTACCTGCTGTCTTTACAAGGAGCCCAGAAGCTCCTCAGGGCCGAACCTCTGATCAAGTTGCTTCCCGTCGATGAGTTCCTCCCCGTCATGTACGATAAACATCCAGTGTGAGTACAACCCATCCGTCCGTCTCATCTGTCTTTTTGATTCTGTCCTGTGGCGCTCTTGTTAGTCTAATCACGTCCCCGCTCCTCTCACTTCTCAGTTCAGAGTACATGGACCACTTTGAGATTCGGGACCTGCGTGCGTTTTCTGCCGAGCCGCTTCTGGTGTATCCAACCCATTACACCGGCGAACGGGGCTATATCAGTGACACGGAGACCTCGGTGGTCTGGGACAACGAGACCGTCAAAACCGACTGGGACCGCGCCAAGTCGAGGAAAACTCAGGAGCAGGGGGAGCTGAGCTTCGAGGCCCAGAACTCTGACGTACTGCAGTCTGAACTGGAGAACTGGAGCGCACGGGACGAGCTGTGATGAAGAAGAGAGGATGTGAGGAGGAGAGACAGAGAGAACAAACCGAGATAAGGACGAGGGAGATGGGACAAAGCTGTGATAGTGGGGAGATGGAAAAGATGGAGAGAATATAACAGGGGGTTGACACGGAGTTGGTGACTAATGCTTCTGTTCTTCTCTCTCCACTCTTGATCTTTCTCTTCAGAGATGAGGTGTAGAAGTAGAATCTTGAAGAGTCAGTCTGCATCCAACGCTCATCCCTTGACCACAGCCTGGTCCAATAGCAGTTCCATGTTTTAAATAATATTTTGCCCAGATGTATCCCAAACCACATTATATATAAAGTCCCCCAGAGGGAATGACATGTAAAAATATGAATTGGAAGAAGATGCAGTATTTAGCCTAACTCTAGCACGTCTCTAAATGACTTCTAGTCAGATTTCAACTGGCCAGCACAACTTCACATCTCCTGATTACACGTGAAGGCTTTCTATCGCGTTTTATACTCTCAGTGGTTCCCAACCTGTTTGGCTTTTGACCCCTTAAAGAAATCTATGTCTACCCGTAACCCCTGATCACCAGTTGTATCTGTCGCCTGGCTGTGATGAGTACGACCAACGAGTAGGGAACCACTGCTCTGTCTTCTTCATCTTCTTCTTGATCTTCTTCTTCATCTTCTTCTTCTTCTTCTTCTTCTTCTTGATGCTCTTCACATCTTGCTCTTTAGTTATTGAAGTAAGTTTTATACGGTTGTTACTTTAATAACGTTACACATGTTTCACTCATGAATCTGTGTTGCCTTTTATTTCATGTCAAACCCTTTTACACTTTGGTAAGAGCTGTGTGTTGTTTTAGTGTTTCAGTGTTTTCCACTCAGTTTTAACATTTTTGCATTTTGTTTGTTGATCAGATCAGAAAAACAAATGAATATAGATTTTTTTGTAACTTTTCCATGTTTAGTTCTCTCCACAAGTATCTTATTTTTAAGCAAAGAATGAATAAAAATTTTATAATGATTGGTTGTGATGTTCTTTACTGAATTTAGCTCGGACTATAACTGACATTGCACAAAGTGTGGGTTCAGCAGCTTTGATCCTGCACGGACACGATGTGAACGTCCCGCTGCCCAGTAGAGACGCTTCTTTAAATCAGTGCCTGCTGGTGTTTGCCTGCCCTGCTCGTACATTATGGTCAGTTTGGGCTGCAGCAGGCCGCCATTACTCCTCCTCCTTCACCATGTTTACACAGATGATCCCTTCTGTACTCCTAACATGTGAAGCGTGACCATTTCATGTTATTTGTCATAGAATCAAATATATTGCACTAGTTAGAGAATGTGCACCTGATACTTGCCACTCTGTGATGCTGTTCTTATAGGCACAGCTTTGCTCTAAGCTAAATGCTAACTCAGCATGCTAACATGCAATGTTTCGCTGGTAATCTTTAGTTCTGCTCATTAGCAATATTATTACTCCATGTAAACACAAAGAACTGCTGCGGCAAGTCTTTATATTTGCTGGTATTTGATCACAAACCAAAGTACTGAACAATCTATAATTTTTACCCATTGATGAAAAGATCACCAAAGTTAAATTCAATAATCATCCACCCAATAGTTGTTAAGACAGAACAGTCATGCCTAAGTGGTGGACTGATGCACAGTGAAGATGAATGTCATGGCTGAGAAGCTTTAGCATGTGTTGTGTTTGTTTGCTCACATGTCCACAGCATCTTTGTTTGTGTTTGTGTGTGTCTGTGTAGTGCTGTGGCACACGTCTGTGACTCAGGCTAATCCTACTGGATCACTCTCTCCCTACTCTATATTTACCTCACCGCTCTCTGAGATTAACTCAGGTATTTTCTGCTGGTGCCCCTGCAGATCAATAGCCACTTCTCTACAGTAGAAGCTGCTGGGGGTTGAGTTGAAACCAGGCTCAACTCAAGCTATCGACCTTCTCAGTTCATTTCCTTGAAGCTCCACATCCTGGCTGTCAAATTATCTTGATGACAGGATGCAAAAGAATCAGTATGTGCTCCGAGGGGTAAATGAGTGACATCAGTAATTAGCAAGACTACAACGAGCAGCGTTTGGCTGTGAGGGAAAGGTTGGAGCAGGGTAGGAAGCTTCACTTGATGCGAACCTAAAACATGTCTGTCCTTTTTCTTTGTCTCCTGTCTGTCTTTATTTCCATGATTTAACCTACATGTCAGTCCTCCTTTTGCAATCCAATTTGTCCTTTACTTCATCCTTCCTTTCCACCCTCCCTTCCTCTCTTCAAGTAATAAGATTGCCACTGTTGAGCCGGAGTTTTAGGGGCCAACAGTGCACACACACACACACACACACACACACACACACACACACACACAGGAGCAACCTCTGCCCCTGAATTACAGCACTGCCACACCTCCAGCTATCTATAATCTCCCTCCGTAGACCACACAGACTGCCGAGTAAAGAAATTACAGCGAGAGGAGTGAAGAGGCAGTGAAAGGTGCACAAAACAGAACAAACTTCACAGGATTTAAAGGAAGACAGAAAGCAAATCAAAGAAATCGGAAAATGGCTTGAAAGAGAGGAGGAACTGGACATATTTCTTTCTTGTATAGGAGTCGAGGAGTTTCAAGGTGAGGTCAATTACTTGTGGTACATGCAGCTGACAGCCCGTACAAAGATTGATGGCCTATTAAATTAGCAACTAACAAAACAAGGCAGTGTTGCTCGTATCTATCAGGTGTGATCGTCTCAGCTCCAATCAGTGAGCGGGATTATCGTGAAATGACTTTTTCCAAATGTAGGATTTAAGCCCTGACCTTTCAGAGTCTTTCAGTAAATCCTCCTTTTTCCCAGGTAAGATGCAATACTGCTCAATTTCAAACTTATTTCTCCTACATCAGCCTTGGAAGTTTCCGTCCAGAGTCGTAGTCTCAAATAGATCTGGCACAGCTCAGAGCCGGAGAGCCAAATCTAATTTGTGAGGTTATCGCTGTCAATTCACAGCCTGCAGTGACTGCTGCCACAGTGAAATACAGGCTGGCCGAGACAGATAAAGCACATTTCAGAGATGTTAGGCCTGAACTTTATTTCTTTATATGAAATTTATTTCTTATGTGTTTTTTTGTTCTGCGCCATAACACCATCCCACAAAGGGCTGATACATACTGGCTGGGCTGTTGTGTTATAGATTTAATTTGTCTTCAATAACTATTGTAGCTTATAAACTGGATGTCCTTCAGTATAGGTCACAACACAAAAATCTGTCAATGAGTGGCATCACTCAAAGAGCCAGTGTGTAGCATTAGATCTATCAGCAGGAAGATAATATGATATTCATAACAGTGTTTTCTTCAGTGTGTAATCACCAGAAACTAAGAATTGTGGTGTTTTTATTACCTTAAAATGAGCTACGTGGTGAGCGGGTCCTCTTCACAGAGTCCATCATATTGCACGCCCATGTTTTTATGTTTTTAAGGCCACCGTAGTTGGCTGTGGTAACTTTGAGCTGCAGAGTGCAAAACCTTGGTATCGCCAAACAACGTCTGACTTCCATTGCTCTTAAAATATTGTTCATATAATAAGGATGGCCTCTGAGCATGAGGAATGGCGTTACCACATTTTTTGGGAAGGGAGAAATGAGCAGAGGGGTGTTCAGTTGGTTGATAATTGCAACCAGACAGCAAGATGCCACCAACTCCTACACACTGTCCTTTTTAACGAACCTTTTAAATAGGTAGTTACATTAAACCTTTTCAACGTAGGTGGTTACATTCTTCGGCCTTTCTTTCCGTTTGGTTCAGTGTTTTTTCATAATGCCACAGATAACTCAACCAATCAAACAATACACTTTATTTCACCACAATTACAATTACAACATGTCAAACAGTAATAGTCTGTTGATCAAGTAGACTAGTGTCCAGATTTCAGCTTACATCTGAAAACCTGTTGACTACTTTGTCCCTTTGTAGGAATATTGTCACCATAATAACTGTCCACATCCAGGCCATTAAAAGAAAAGAATCAGATTGAATAGGTGTCTTCCCTCCATTTAAAGAAAACGATTAACAACACAATGTGTTATCAGTCACTCATCAATTACTAGACTCTTTACTTTGCACTGATTTGGTATCATAAGTGGCACAGATAACTTCATTCATGTATTTTCATGTTCGTGTATATAAATGAATAGTTGCTAATTGTGATAACAATGAAAGCTACCTCTGAAGAGCTTCCTCTGCTGCACTGAAACAGAGGTGCTTCTATTGTTACCAAACACAGATATTTTACGAAACAGATGTGTTTCGTAAAAAAATAGTTTTTAGTTGTTCTGGATGAACATAGAAGAAATATAAGCAGTACAGTATATAAGTGTCTTTGTTGCGGCCAATCAGATTTGAACAACGAGTGAGAGACTCCTACGTGAGAATCTGCCAGAACCGTTTTTGTTAAGCAACATTTGAATCACAATCATGACAGTTATGGAGTTTTCTATACTGGTTCTGCCACAGTCGATCAAATCTGATCCACCCACACCCACACGGTACAGATGAAGCAGAGTTCTTGGAGGCCAAAACTCTTAATAAGTTTTTCCGAACTTCGATTTTTGTCTCATTTAGTCATGAATATTTAGTACCCATGTTTTGAAACCAAAATTAGAAAATAGACCATAATGCAATGCAGCTGCAATGTGTGTATTCACAATTTGGAGAAAAAAAAATCCATACTGTTTCCACTACGGTGCTTTTGCTATTTCTCTTTCCAAACACATATATTAAATCTCAGCTGTGTGCAATGACTTCACACTCTGTGGCATATTGAAAGCCATTCTGGGAAATCACTAAAGTTAAATTCCTGAGGCTGCACTGAGAGTCTCAGATGATCTCTTAAAGATATCCAGCAGTGTAGCCTTTGTCCTTCGGATGCAGTCGGCATGGATACAGGCAATGAACCGAAGCACGATAAAGATAACACATTTATGTGGTAGCACAAACATATGAATCTGTATTTCACCATCCCTTCTCCAACAGAGGGCCTTTACCCTTTCTGTCATCATGGTGGACCTGTTCCTAAACCGAGTTCTGGTGGAGAACAACTGGGACCAGGATGAACTCAACACGGAGCGAGAGATCATCGGGATCCTCGAAAACCGCATCTTGATGCTGTTCTTTGCGTCTGCGGAGTGTGGCAAGTGCCAGGAGTTCCTGCCCGTTCTGAATGACTTTTTTAAGAGACTGAAAGATCCGGTGTACATTGAATACCCCAAACTGCTCGCACTGCTCTACGTCAGGTCTCTATCTTTCTTTCTCTTTATCTCCTTGATGCACACCTGTGATTGCATGAAGTCACTTTCACCAGTTTTATCATTCATAACATTTCCATATCCATCTCCTCTCTCCAGCTTGGACCAGTCGGAGGCGCAGCAGGATAGATTCCTCAAAGAGCTGCACAAAAAGGTTCTGTTTTTGGCCTTTGATGATCCATACAGGAAGTAGGTGAAGAGAAGAAGAGAGTCTGCATAGTTTGTATGTTTCTAAAGTCAAATTAAGACATTTAATGGTAATTGCTATACATGTGTGTTTTTCTGCTTGTCAGAGAACTGCAGGCTAAGTTTAAGGTGAAGGACGTACCAACAGTCGTGGTCCTTCGTCCTGACGGCTCCGTCCTCTCTCCAAATGCTGTGCAGGACATCTGTCGTTTTGGGTGTGACTGTTTCAGAGACTGGCAGGAATCAGCAGAGCTCATTGAGAGGAGCTTCATGCTCAATGAGGAGTTCGACAACCTAAATATGCGAAGTGTTACTGAATCCGTGAGGAGACTCAAGTACAAGACAGAGGACGACAAGAGGAAGAAGACGTGGTGGAAGTTATGGGAGAAGGGCAAAGATAGAAGTGAGGAGGAGGAGGAGGAAGAGGAGGTAAGAGATGCAACGTTGGATAGAAAGAGAAAGGAGGGAGATAAAGGAACATGGTGGAGGAGATGAAGTAGAGAAGCGATTTGTTGTCTTAAGTCTTCAAGTCCAGCCTCCTACTTAATCCTTTGTTGCTGATACTGCAGCCTCTTTCCAGGCTGTTTGAAAAACATTCTGCCTGCAGTGGCATGTGGAGCAGAACTTAAATAAATGCACACTGAAAAGAGGTCCTCTGTTGTGCTGCCGGAGATATTGGCACGTAGAAGCACAACGTAACTGTGCCGCTCTGCACAGATCACACAGAACTTTGAGGGGAATGAATCTCATCGTGAGAGATATGCTACCAACGTTACTGCTAACTATATAAAAATATATATCTATATATATTTTTTCCAAACTATGATCCAGTCTTATAATACTTTGTCAATTAATGACAGTAATAAGTATGATCAGTTTTCAGTCATCAGAAACATACACGTACACGTACAGTAGCCTACGGCTCATTTCTGCCTATGTAAGCACATAAAGGTCCAGCTTCTAAAGCTCCATGTTTGGTGGATGTTATGTTGTGATGATATGTTATATCTGTGTGTAATTCAGCTTTTTCTGGAGTTGTTGTTCCCCCGAATGGCCAAAGAAAAAAAATATAACTGCAGCTTTAAAATAAATGTAGGCGCTGGCGCCTGCTGGTGTCAAATCAATATTTTGTCAAGCACTGTGTATGATATTTATAGCATTATCTTTGCCATGTTAATTATGGCGTGTCTCTTCAGCTAATCTTTATTTTATTATATATATATGTTGTTAAATATGACTTGTATTGTATGAAAAACAATAAAGGAAAGTAAATATTCTGCAAACGCAAGTTTCAAGAAAGTCTCTCATGCTGTAATTTCTATGCTTTCTGACTCTGTCGCATGCCTTTACACACACACAAACACACACACACACACACACGCACACACACGCACACACACACACACACACACACACACACTGTGAGCACTTCATGTCTCTTGTCCCTCTGTCACCTTGTCTTTCAATCCCTCCCTCCCAGACAGAGGAAGGGAGGTGGAGCGCAGAGACACAAAGGAAGAGGGAGTGAGCGGCTACAGACGTCAAGGTGAAGGAGACACAGTCGATGAGGGAACGTGATATAAACTGACAAGCTGGGAACTGATTCAAGTACGACTGAGTTTGAAAAGAAAAGAAAAAACTATATTTTGAAAACTGTTTTCTTTCTGGATTTGTGACCTTAAGGGGAGATCATATTTGTGAGAGGTAACCAACTGTGAGGATTATCCGATTTAACAGCAAGCAGCAAGATGGGCCACATGATTAATGGGAGGTTTGTAATTCAAACATACCGTCTAATTTAAATGGCAGAGTCATCAAATCATACAGTATGCAAGATGAACCTTTACAAATGCTCAAACTTTTTTAAACCGTTCTCATTTGTGTTTTGGGTTGTTGGTCTGTGATTAGTCTCACACATATGCATGCATGTAACAACCCTCATCTGTTTTTGGTCTTCTTCCTTCCACTACGTGCTATGTTGCTGTTGTGGTTCTGATGATTTCCCTGTTAAACCATCGTGTATAAATTGTTTGTTCATCACTCCGTGGGCTCCCTAAGCCTCCTTCCTGTGACACTCCATTATGGTGGACCTGTTCGTTGAGCACGTCCTGGTGAAGAACAACAAGGACCAGGACGAGCTGGACACACAACGAGAGATCGTCGTGCGCCTGCAGAACCGCATCCTCATGGTCTTCTTTGCATCTGCTGCATGCCAGAGCTGCCAGCAGTTTGCTCCCACGCTCACCGGCTTCTTCAAACGACTGACAGATGAGTTTTATGTGGACCGTGCGGCTCAGCTGGTTCTCCTGTACATTAGGTACAACACACACACACACACACACACACACACACACACACACACACACACACACACACACACACACACACACACACATTATGGTGTTGCATTGGACTTGTAATGGAGCACATTTATTTACAAACCTCAAAACCCAAACTGTATCAGATGCTCTTCCCCCAAACTAATTTTAAACATGACTTTGCACAAGTTCTTGTATGCGTAATGTTGTGCCCTTTGTATCTCTTGGAAAGGATAAGGCAATATGATTTTCATACACTTTCTCAGTTATTGCCCAGTTAACAAAAAATCCTATTTTTGTGAGAACCAAATGTCCTCATAAGGCAGGATTCTAACAAACATTTGGATAGGTTTCCAGACTTTTAGTCTATCTGCCTACATCTCCCAGCAACGTGCTCTTCCTTTTTCCTTCGTCTGTCAGTTTGGACCAGTCACAGGAACAGCAAGAAAGCTTCCTCAAAGAGCTGCCCAAGAAGTGCCTGTTCCTGGCCTACGAGGACCCCTACAGGAGGTGTGTCGGTTTGGCCACTTAGTTGTGTGCGCAACCTGCTGGTGGATGATGTTAATGTAAATATACCTTGTTATATAAATCCATTAGCTGTATGCCAATGTGTGTGTGTCCACAGGCAGCTGGAGGCCATGTTTAATGTGGAGGAGCTGCCCACAGTGGCGGTGCTGCGCCCCGACGGCTCCGTCCTCATCCCTAACGCAGTGGAGGAGATACTGTGCCTCGGCCCGGACTGCTACCGCAACTGGCAGGAGGCCGCAGAGATCATCGACAGGAGCTTCATGATCAGCGAGGACTTCGAGGGGAAGTCCATGCGCAGCTTGAGTGACCCAGTGAGGGGGCTGAAGTACAAGGTGGAAGATGAGAAGAAGAAAAAGACGAAGAAGAGCAGAGGTGGATGGAGGAGGACCATGGTGATGGAGACCAACAAGAGGACAAGACTGTGAGTTTCCTCAAAAGGTGATTGGATTGATTGATGATGCCGCCAATGTTGCACAGTTCTGTTGAACCAAACAAAACCCTTTTCACAGCTCAATGTCGGACAATACTGACATCCCTCATCTTATTACAGAGGTAGACACATCAAACTGACGTTTCTGTGACGAGATTTGCTTTTCTATATCAGAGCCAAGCAACGGGCTGCAGACAAATCTCTCGTATAAGTGGTGTGATATGCCAACATCCAATAAAAAGTAATGTAAATCTTTCAAAATGGAGCACTAAATACTGCTAACCTCAGTTTAGAATTGGCTGTTTTTAATGTCTTTGAAAGCTGCCAAGTATACAGTGAAGCCAAGGTCATGTCTGAGCCAAGAAACACCATAATGGCTTGTTTTATTACACCCACGAGATTATTCCAACCATTTTCCCATTTTCAGCAACACAGCTTTGTAATGCAATGAACTTTTACATGATCATTTGTACCATCCAATCAAAACACGTCACGCATAATCTTAAATCAATGAATTATTCAACGCCATTAAAATAATTTTGTTGGGGACTGTTGGTGCTTTGAGTGTTTATGAAGTCTCGCTCCACTTTACAGGCCACACAAGAAGCAATCAGGGCTATTCAAAGGCAGTCAAGTGAAATTATGGAGATACTGGCTTTTCTACATTATCAGTGATTTCCTTTGACATGACTCATCCTCTTTTCATACCAAGGACTGTCTTTAGTCTTTGCACACTTCCTCGCACGTGGTTAGGCCTACTGCACGAACGAGGCTTTAAGTCGGGGGCTAGATGAGCTAAAAGAAGACGGGAGGTTATCTTCTACGTAACAATGTAGGAACGTATATAAAGAAAGCGACGAACACACAGGGGTGAATAAAGCTGCAGGGAGAATATAAATTGGGAGGGCAGCTGACCTAATCAGGGGCAGGTGAGTATGAGGGCAGGTGGGTCAGATTTTAAAAATAAAACCAAATAATATGCACAAACATAATCAGGTTGTCTTTCATCCTCTATCCTGTGAGTGACCCCAGCCTTCACTCTATGATGTCATTACTCCTAAAGTGCAAATACAAGAAGCGATAGAGTGCTTTTTCTTATTTTTTTTTGCATTGTAGGAGCAATGACAGTAATGGCAGAGGGAGCAGAACATGCTTGGGTAAACATGCCTCTGCAGAGACAGATGATGAAACCAGATTGTCATCAGGTGCCTTCAAGGTGTGACGGGTTGATTGGTAGGTTTGACGCGCTCGATAAATGGCGGTGACATGATGAATCATTTAAAGGCAACCCGGTGTTATAGACAGGTTGACAAACATTTTCTGTCAGAGCTGCTCAAAGCGAAGCTCTCCCTTTAGTTTAATGGACCGAATGCCCGCGTGCGTGTTGGATGTGCACGGACTGCACACAATAGCTCTGCATGTTCTTGTCGTATAGGAGCAACCCATAAATGCTAAACCTAAATCTGAGCTGCTCAGCCCATGTAACAAAGACACAGAGGCCTAACTAAACATGAGCCGCATGTTTATTCCGTATTATTCCTCTCCTTTTGCCCACACAGCAGCTTATTGTTGCTCACTCAGACAAACCTTGGTAATATAGTCTCCCCGCCTCTCTGTCTCTGCACACACCCACACACGCGCGCACACAAAGTCACACTCTCACGTTGCGCGCTCTCGAGAGCAGAACGCGCAACAAGCGGACGGAGAGAGAGAGAGAGAGAGGGAGAGAGAGAGAGAGAGAGAGAGAGAGAGAGAGAGAGAGAAGAAGAAGAACACGAGAGAAGGACGGATGCAAGGCGATGCCAGGAGCGGAAAACCTGATCTCTCCTGGTTAATCCAGCTGTTGTCGTTTTGAAATGATTTTTTATCACGGCGAAATTTTCTAACACGGTTCCTGCATTTTTCCTTTTTTTTGTTGAGAACCTGATATATCCCCCAACATCCGTCCTGATGTGCTGCTGCGCCTCATCACGATTCTTCGAGGATATGCAAAGCGGCTGTCATCGCGTCGACGTTATTTCCCATTAAATGCAAGGATGTAATATCGGACGCATACGACCAGCAATGACAAACGACGCCCGGGCTTGATGAGCGAAATAAATCGACGGAGGGGAGACGGAGCAGCTCGGGTCTGTGCGTTCATTTGCGCCTAATTATTGTTTGCGCGTGTGATCGTGTGTTTTCCTCCCGTCGTCCGTCGGAGCTATATAAGGCCCATAGCCCGCACCGTCTCTGGCCATGAAACCCGTGGGAATTATGATACCAACGTGACGCACAGTCACACAGCACAGCGGGGAAGACATCGAGCCTCAACAGGACGGAGGGAGGGTGTGAGGTCCAGCAGAGCAGAGCAGAGCCCTACACAGAACACTGATCACAGGAGGAGGACGCCCAGTTGTTGTTGGACACATCGCGCTAATGACTGCCGTATAGCCCAGCAGGTATCGCCCCCAAACGTTTCCCCCACTGAATATTAGATTTTTTTTTTTTTTTCATGCATCGGGCAGAGCGGAGCGGGAGAAAGGGAGGAGAGTACAGTGGGTGCACGAGGGCGCGGAGAGACGAAATGCGGAAGACGCAGTGAGCGAGGAGGAGGAGGAGGAGGAGGAGGAGGGAAACCGGAGGATTGACGGTAAGATATGGATGTAGGCTATAAGGATGCACCCCGCCCCTCTTCTCTCTCTCTCTCTCTCTCTCTCTCTCTCTCTCTCTCTCTCGCTCTCTCTCTCGCTCTCTCTCTCGCTCTCTCGCTCTCTCACATGCACACGCGCACATACATGATCAATGCCTGAGAAGACAGCAGAGGTGCCCTGCTCCTTCACTGCTGCTGCTGCTGTCAAGGTCCATTTGATCACTGAGGGACAGGGATCTGATGCAGGGCCTAAACTGCTCCCTGCAGTTAAAGCTGGGTCAGTAGTATAGGAGTGTGAGGCATGTGTGCTGTGAAATATTCATGGTCACGTGATTAGCCTCCTCTGTGCCTCAGAGGAGTGCAGGGAGAAAGTGGCCTAATGACTCAGGGTGTCCCGTGCTGGCCCAACAGAGGGGTCTGTCACAAGTGGGCTGAGTTATGTTCATTACACTTGCACACATCACACTCCTTCGTTGCAGTGTCTGGTGTGCTGCAGAGGAAAGCGGTGTAAACACACACACACACACACACACACACACACACACACACACACACACA